AGGCTGTCATATTTTTTTTTATCTTCTTTGGTACTGGCTCAGGCGAGGTTCTATCCCCATGACTTCTTTTTCCAACTTCCGTGGAACACGACGGATTTGCCTCAGGTAGGTTCGACTGTATGGGTACTATTTCACTAAAATATATTTTAACCAAATTAAAACTTGCTACTTGTCATTTTTATAAATTAATCACCAATCACGCAGATTTAATTCTTTGGGACGTAAAATACAACATTATAAACAAATAAGGAAGATGACAATACGAATACAAATATATCAAGTATTATTATACCCAGTTGTCGGATCCAGTTCGTATGTGACTTCGTTCTCAGACATTTGCGCCGTGTTCAATGTTGGGTTCGTTCTTCTCTGCAAATGTGAATATATTTGGAATAATATATATAATAATGTAGATTAATATAATTAATTAAAACTGCAACACAAATAATACATACTAGGCTATCGGAGTCGTGGGAATTTTCATCCTCCACAAAATCTTCCGAGCAAATTTCACTGGTTGTGAAATCGAGCCCGGAAGGTTTTGGAAGTGAAGGACCTCCGCCTGTACCAGTCGCATGCTTGCGATAACAAGAAATAGTCTTCTTTGTTGCGAGTTTCCACCGCTGATATGCATCTCTAATATCTTTCTAATCTCTCTTAATTCCAGTCGCTGCCATTTTTTCTGTTAGTTCCATCCATTTGTCTCTTCTACTCTTTTGCAATCTAGTATTATTTGATTTATTCTCTAGTATATCACGATTGTCGCTTATAAATTGTACGACTAATGCTTTTTCTTCGATGGTGAAATTCTCTTTTCGTTGCATGGTAATCTACAATGATTTATATGTTTATCATTTTCATTTCATGCCTGTTATATAATAGATATACATACTTACCACATTTACACGATTTTAATGTATAATTTAATATTAACCGTTTGGCTGCTGACGTATTTTTTCGGACATATGCCAAAACTGTGGCACTAATTGCGCGTGTATGGGAAAAAACGTAAAACACTTTTTGTACGATAAAGTCACTTGTATTACTTTGCAACAACAAAAATTAAAAAATACCAATTGTTTACATAAATTTGTAATAGCCCGTAATCACTTTTTAGGAATAATAATATCACTTCCGCTATCACTTTCGTTGTCACAAACTTGCATTTCATCATCAGTCCACGATTCCGAGTCAGTTTCACTCCAAATATCAGACATTGGGTTCACCGTTATTTAACAAAAAAAAAGTAGATTTGAAATATGTCATATTATTACAACAATTAAAAATCGTATGCTCCGCAAACGCAAGGTGCTTAACTGGACACACAAATTCTAGTGTTCTGGATCAGCATTATTACGCTCTCCGCAGTCTAGGCATCGAAAAAAAAGAGGAGCGCTATCGCGCTCTTCGCATTTTTGGCGTAACATAAGAAGAGCGCGATAGCGCTCGTCAGCAGCCAAACGGTTATTAGCTTACCTTCGAGAAAGAAAATTCTTGTGATTTCGAATTTCAAATATGGTTGCTATGGGCACCAAATATGAAGTTCGCGCTTTCCGAATGCTACCGAATACTCCCGAACATAATCGAATATGCCCGAGTCTTCCCGAATGATTCCGAACGCGGTTGAAAGTATATGTTACAAGACGCTGCTCCCTGTTAGCGTACCTTTAGCTAAAAGCGACTTAAAAGCGAGTTCTAAATACGGTCACTAACAACTCGGCGCAGTCACTTTTAACTAATAGTGACTCTGTTAGTGACCTTAAGAGCGAGTTCTGAATACGGGCTATAGACACCAAACAAGGTGGCCTTAAGACAGTACCTCAAATCCTCCCTTGGAGAAGACGATCTTGTTTCAGCATGATTCACAGTCACGTCTTATAAGAAACAAACATTTTCTTACGAGCGGTACGATTCATAGTTAATAAAGGCAATGGGTATGTTCAGCAGAAACACCGCTGAGGGAGCAAATACATTTGATTGGTCAAATCTCACAACTGTTTCAAGATTAACGATCAAATGACCAATCAAATGTATTTGCCCCCTCAGCGGTGTTTCTGCCGAAAACACCCAATCTTATTTAATGAATAAGGCCACCTCTATTGTGAAATAAGATAATCTTCGCTAAGTTAGCATCAGACCACGGTCTTACATAAAGGTCTTGAAACGAACGTGGTGGGGGTGGGTCGCTTAGTGAAGCAATTCAGACCAAAGTGAATGCACTTCATGACAGCGCGCGAGAACAAAGTTTACTTTATCGCACTAGTGCGATAATGTAAAATTGGGCTGATTTGCGCATGCGCAGCATTTTTATCGTATCCATAGATATAAAGCGCCACTTTCGCCACACTTCGGAGGCACAAAAAGTAGTGTTTTTCATGCATGAGTTACATAAAAATATTTATTAATAGATAAAGTAATTATAAGACTGAATAGTTTCTGATATATTTTTGTAACCTATAATTTATTTTTTAGCTTCTACTTGGCGATACAGTCACAGTATCACAACCGACTATATCAAAAATTGTTTTTCGAGTTAGTGCATTGCTTCCCAGCTTGTTAAATCAGTATATAAAAATGCCAAGTATTCAAGAATCACGAAATGAAAATCGGTGGGTATTTAAAAAACAAGGGCAGGGCAATGGAGCTATTGGGCTTCCTGGTATCGATGGAGCAATTGACTGTACCCACATATTTCTAGTAGATACACGTTTTCAAGACTAATGAAATGTACAGGAATAGAAAGGGATATTTCTCTCTAAATGTACAAGTACGTTACCTCATTCTATTATATCCTAAAAGTTATCGAAGAAAATATTTTTTTGATTAAAGTATTGAGACGTTTCGTGATTTTTGAGTGTTGGGAATCACGAGACTGTTTGTAGGGTTTGTGCACTGGGCAGGCGTCTTTAGAAACAATTTAGACACTGGAGTTTTTAAAATAATAAAATAATGATATATTGTCCTATAAATTACAGACTAGGTATCCTTAATATTCTATTTTGCTCTTTCTCTCACACACATACACACGCTTTACAATTGTCTCTCTAGCTTGCCTGTAATACCACAGGCGACAAGAAGTGTTTTTGTTTACTTTATTATCTCTGCTAGCCTTTTGGATTGCAGAGAGGTAGCTGGAACCACAATACAACAGATTGCACAATGCGTCCGAAGACCGTGGTCCAGTTTGAAGATTAGGACGATAATGTTTCGGGACCCACAGGTGATCACGATGATCCCCGTTCGCCGAGCCAATTATCTTTGGAGTGGGGATGAGAGTGCTATCACCACAATACAGCAGAGTGCACAATGCGTCCGAAGACTGCGACACAGCGGGTAGTGATAGCAGTGAAGATTCAGAACCCACAGATGATCACAATTATCTCCGTTCGCCGAACCATTCACTTTAGGGAGGAAAGGAGCTGCGGCCACAATACAGCAGAGTGCACAATGCGTCCGAAGACTGCGACACAGCGGGTAGTGATAGCAGTGAAGATTCAGAACCCACAGATGATCACAATTATCTCCGTTCGCCGAACCATTCACTTTAGGGAGGAAAGGAGCTGCGGCCACAATACAGCAGAGTGCACAATGCGTCCGAAGACTGCGACACAGCGGGTAGTGATAGCAGTGAAGATTCAGAACCCACAGATGATCACAATTATCTCCGTTCGCCGAACCATTCACTTTAGGGAGGAAAGGAGCTGCGGCCACAATACAGCAGAGTGCACAATGCGTCCGAAGACTGCGACACAGCGGGTAGTGATAGCAGTGAAGATTCAGAACCCACAGATGATCACAATTATCTCCGTTCGCCGAACCATTCACTTTAGGGAGGAAAGGAGCTGCGGCCACAATACAGCAGAGTGCACAATGCGTCCGAAGACTGCGACACAGCGGGTAGTGATAGCAGTGAAGATTCAGAACCCACAGATGATCACAATTATCTCCGTTCGCCGAACCATTCACTTTAGGGAGGAAAGGAGCTGCGGCCACAATACAGCAGAGTGCACAATGCGTCCGAAGACTGCGACACAGCGGGTAGTGATAGCAGTGAAGATTCAGAACCCACAGATGATCACAATTATCTCCGTTCGCCGAACCATTCACTTTAGGGAGGAAAGGAGCTGCGGCCACAATACAGCAGAGTGCACAATGCGTCCGAAGACTGTGATGTAGTTGAGGTGTGGAGAGTGAGGATTCAGGACCCACAGATGGTCACAATGACCCCCGTTCGCTGTATCTTCACTTCGGAAGGGTTTTTGGTGATGTGAGTTCTGGAGCGCTGCTGCAGGAATTCTTTTTGAGGAGTGCAGATTTCTTAATAATTGAACTTTTTATAGCTTCTACTGCTTCCTGTCGTCTAGTGGTGTACAGGTGTTTAGTTGATTCGTCTAGAGAGACACGACTGAATCGAGTGACCTCCTATCGAGGAAGCCGCTGCTTATATCCTCAGTATTAATACGTTAAAACTAGTAGGGATAACGATTTTTATCCACCCGAGGTGTTAACGTCTCTTTTTGGATTCAATATTTTGATTTGTTATTTGATTTGATTGTTTGATTTGACTATTTGGATTAACGGTTTCTTCAAGTACCGGCTTACTGGTATTTCTATTGTATTCGGCGCTTGCTGGCTTATAGTGTCTGGGCACTTGTTTGTTTTGATTTCAGTCTGTGGACTGTATTTCGGATTCTAGGAATGTTAAAGGTAATAATTTCCAATATTATATCCTCATGACTGTCGCTGTGACTAGATTCAAGGGAATTATGCAATATTAGAGAATTAAAGGTCCTATATTTTCTTTCCTTTATCGGCGTCGCTGTGAGAGGTCGATAGGATTCTTGAGGAATTCTAGGATTTGAGGAGTTCTCTCAGACACTGTTATGCACATCCACAGTGCGCTATGCACTCTTATGTGGGGCTCTTGACGTATTCATCATCGAGACTGATTATTGGGAAGGAAAAAGGATAAAGGATGGGGGGGTATAAGGACGGAACGTTACAGTATGTAAGTGAAGGACTATTGCATACACATTATTTTACTATAAAAATTAAACAGATAGGGTAGTTATTGATGCTACAGTTCTTAATACTGACATTTTTGTGTAGACTATTGTTGGGCCTCGAATGGAGTTTTTAGATATCGTACCAGAGTGGCCCAGTAGCGAGCATGATAATAGAATCTTCCAAAATTCAAGAATCTGTATGAAATATGCTAATGCTGAGCGCAATGGTATATTGGTAGGGGATGCTGGATATCCATGTCTACCTTTTTTATTAACACCGATTGCAAATCCTATAACCGATGAACAGATGTGGTAAGGATTTTATTAGTCTTCAATTTCTATATTTTACATAATACTTTTAATATTATTTTATGTGTACAGCTACAATAATATACATGGTAGAACAAGACGTATCGTAGAAAGGACTTATGATGTTTGGAAACGGCGATTTCCTTGCTTAGCACGAGGACTAACAGCTAAACTTCTCTGTTCAACAACAATCGTTGTGGCCTGTGCTGTGTTGCATAACATGTCATTGATATTTAGCGACATATTACCAGAAGATGATGAATCTTTTGTGGAAGAGGAAGAACCCAATAATCAACCTCATTGGCAACCTATGGATGGTTTTGCTGCTTATGACACCATGATTGAACGTTTATTTCATTGAGCATAAGTATCATAAAGGTTGTGACTTTAAATAAGATCTCTCAAATTGTAAATTGTAATCAATACCAGGATTTGAAATAGAAACTCCTGTTTTTTTTATATATCAGTTTATTGTGTAATATATAAATACTGTAAATAAAAGGACATAATTTTTCCATCTCTTTTTTTAACAATAATTCTGCTAATTGTGCCGTAGCTGTGACGGCACGTATCTCTAACGCATATTTCGTTTTAGCATGTTCGTATGCTAAATTATGCAATACCTTCTGGTTTTGCTTGTGCAATGTAGCCAAATCCTCTTCCTGCTTCATAATACGTCTTATATGTGCAAACTGAAGTTCCTGCAGGTTGTATGTCCGGTTGTAGGCTTTGTCCTTTGTACCCTTTTTTATCTTTGATGCTGTACGAAGAAAATGAAATACAAAAAAGTTAGTATTACATAATAGAATGCAGACAATATTTGTAGATAATAAAGAAACACATTAAATATACCCTAAAATTAATGAAGTGCAGTGCAAAATTGAATTTTTTCAATCACTTCAAAGTACAATATTCTGAATAAAATTGCGTGCTAAGACGCAATATTCAAGATCGGTGGTAGTATTTTATCACAGATATATGGATGTGTATCATAAAATTCCTCTGGTTCAATACCTTTTGAATGAATTGTACTTATGTTGCTGCTACCAGCATGTGACATGCCTTCAGAATCTGTGTTTATGACTGTAGCTTCTGATGGTATTGTGGCATCAAGGAGTTCATCAGTGATCAATTCATCATCAATTTCAAATTGTGAGTCTTGCACAATTATATCAATATTCTCGTTATTTAGAATCTGTTGACGTCGGTCTAAGAAAAACATAAGCATGGTCAATAAAAAAATTGATATACAATAAATGTTTTGCAACTATTTATTTAGAATATCCATAATAATACTGTTACCATGAACAACCTCTTCTGGCATATTAAACGAAAATAAAATTGGGGCATTTTTCATCAAATTAGGAGCTATGATAGCAACATCAGGATCAATCATGGCCAGTGGAATTGCAGGACCTCCTCCAGTAACAAACCGAGATCGTCTCTCCTTTGTTAGTGCATCTCTCTGTGTTTGCTTTAAGTTAGTCCAAAGTTTTTTCAGCTGTTGCACAGTTCTCTATTGAATTATTGATTATATTCAAAACATAAGTTTAGTACCTGTCAAGGGACATGCACGAATACATCAATGTAATGTTATTAATTAAATTAATAATTACTTCTTGCATGACTAAAGATAAGAGGTTGAATTCTTTTTCAATTTCTGCCCATGCCATCTCTTTGTCTTTTAACGTTGTTAAATCACTTTTCTTAATTTCTATAACATCCTTATATTTTTTTAGTATTTCCAAAAATAGTTTCTTTTCAGTACTTGTGTAATGTTTATGCTTGCCCTATTTTGGTGCTTTACTTCTGTTTTGCGACATTTTTTTTTAATTTCACAAAACTAAAAATCTGATATAGGTACCGAAACAAACGGAGAATCACCTTCCTTCCTTTCCTTATGGCTGTATCCCCAATGGAGGATATGTGCCAGTAACTGGTCCTAATAATCAAGGTTGGAAGTTCGACAATAGATGGCGATGTACCTTGCGAGACGGGCCTTATTCAACTCAGCGTAAGGGGACCTACAAAGTTTATACACCGAATGCGAACAGTGTTGGGTGAAATCCGTATAAATACTCACTTAAGTTTTCATAAAACGGAGAATCAAATGAAGGCACGAAAATAAAGACCATTATTCACATAGATATTAGATGGGTAGGCCCCTACAAGATTTTCACTCCATCGTATGAAAATCTCAGTGTCCTATTGGTCACTCTGGCAGAAATATTCCGAATATTGCCGAACGTTAAATAAGATCATTTTGAGCTTTGCCTTCGTCAAGGCGATCTTGAATAAAATAAGGTGTCCCTTTCAAGCAACTTCTTCGAAAAGACTGTCTTATTTTTCAACTATGAATTCATAGTATCTTAAGACAATCTTAATCAAATAAGACAGTCTTCATCAAGCCGGCCTGAAGCGTCACCTTGAGACCTGACTATGGCTGCGTTTCATTTTGACGCTCACGCGCTGTAAGCGCTCACGCTTTTGAGCGTTGCTTGCAAGCGTTTCGTTTGGTTTCGAGCGATCACGTTGACGTCCAAAAGAAACTCATATCGATACACGTGAGCATTTAAAAAAAAAGATGGAGAATGTGGAAAGTGTAGTGGTTCAAAGTTTAATATTATTTGATATACTGTTCAACAAAGATGAAGACGACGACATGGATGCAAATGACAGCAATAGTTACCAGAAAAACATGGATGAATGTTTGAGTTTTCTTGTGCGACGAATGACAAACAAACACTGCTCACGTTCCTTTAGGTGTTTAATCGTTTGTGAGCACTCACGCGTTTGCTGCAATACCTGGACGAAAGAAGCGTTTATAAACGCTTAAGAGCACGAGTTATGACGCCATCAATGACGTCATGACGGCGTTCGTGAGGGCTCACATCGCCAAAAGGAACAGAATAAGCAACGCTTACAAGCGCTTACAGCGCGTGAGCGTCCAAATGAAACGTAGCCTATGAATACGGTGCGGTACCTATCCATAGATATAGAAACGACATAGCTGTAGCATAAACTGATATTTTAGGCAAGGGGCGTGAGGCAAAATGAAGGGGTGGGGGGGAGTTCGCTGCATAACCAATCAAATTCAAGCTGACCCCTCCCTTACCATGCCTTAACATGATTGGTTCTCTTGGAACGATAGACTCGCGACGACGCTTACGTAGCACTTTTACATCACTGCGCTTGCTTCCAATAGTAACCAATCACAAGTAGGCTCAGTGTACCTCGGCACCCGTCCCTGGACGGCTTCCCCCCGCAGGGAGGAATTTTCCTCGCACATGAAAATTTTCTATTTTATGCTACATCTATGTCTTTTCTATATCTATGTATCTATCTACACTCAACGGTGAACCATAGATTAGTGATATAACCTACCCATAAGATAGCGCAGCGGTAGCGTGCACATGCGCAGTAGCCATCTTGGATAAAATAAGTTTGTGTGTAAACAGAGATAAGTGGGGAAATGCACAACGCTACGGTTTTAGGCGATACCAAAAGCATGGCGCAAAATCGTAGCGGCGAGTCCGGGAGTAGGATTTCGTGATCATCGCCTCTGTTGATGTTACAGATTTCGCGTAGGCGCGCGGGTCATGATCACGGTCTTACATACAGGTCTTTCAACTCCGATGGTGGGGGGTAACTCACTTTCTGAAGTCGCGCTGTAAGCGGCGCTGTGATCAAGTGCTCCTCGTGCGACAGAAATAGAAATAAATATTTCTCTCCCTCTCTCTAATGGCGCGAGTCTACTGTATAACCCTGTAATTATCCGAATAACAGAATCGATGGCATAAAGAAGAAGAAGCGATACACATGCATACAATGAAACCTGACGAATAAAAAAGGTGCATATTAATTATTACCTCTAAGCGAACCAAAGTTTTTTATATGCAGGCGGGTACGCTAAGTATATACGACTTTTGTAACACATGCACTATGAGTTTAATTTGGCAAATGGAGTTATTCCGTGCTTGGTTTTTTCAAGCATATTTTTGTAGCGAATGCTAGACACTTTTTAAATAATCCAGAAAGTGAGACTTTTTCACAAATAAAGAATACATTACATGTATAATTTGCTTCACGAAATCTTCTATCGATAAACTGAGAAAAAAGTGTATCTGGATGGACTAAATCTGTGTTTGCCAATTTTTAACCGAATTTGTATTTAATATAATAAAAGATATTGGTTGACTCAAATATATTTTGGTCAGCCGATGCGAATAATTGTTGAACAAACTAATTCTTTAGTTACAATTTTCTGAACGGCTGGAACGGTTAATTTGGAACATTTTTCTTCCAGGCTTTCAGCATTGCTCTTCGATATTTCCTCTTTTTTCTCGTTCAACGATTGCAGTAACAACGTCATTCGTACTTTCGCGCGGTTTTTCTTCCGTCTTTCGTAACTTTTTTTCGCACAACCGCTAACTTCTCTTTCTCTACTGGATTTAAAGAGCTAAAAACGCGTCGTTTCGTTTGGATTTTCTTGAATCTTACTTCCTTCTGTAACTGTACTTTCCGCAGCTTCAAGCAATTGTCGCATCTCATCGTTTTCAAGATTAGAGGGCAGTCGTAGTGATGCCATTGATGAAGATAGTCTTGAAATACCTTGTCAATTTGCAGGTGATGGACATTGACGAGGCCTATGCCGCTGCATACGTTCATTCTTTCGAATTTACCCAAAATATTTGGCAGTGTTTCAATATCATCCAGAACTTGAGGGAGCTTTGCCTCCTTCGTGTTAACGGGACGACCGTAAGCGTGGTAGCGTAAAGTTTTATCATAGTAGAGAGTTATACACTCCTGTATTATTATCGTATCTTGTACGGTTCTTGTTACCGGTCTAGCATACGAGAATAGGAGATTCTCGCCGGATACGTTCGATAATTTTGAAACACTTGACGATTTTGGTACCGCAGCAGAAGAGGTTTTCACGACCTTCGTATCATCGACTTGTCGAATAGTACCTACGATGAGTTACAAGTGAAATATCTAGTAAAATTCAAATCGAAAAAATTATCCATATTTCTCCTTTATGAGAAAATAATAAATAACTTTATACGCATAAATGACTTACGTTCGGTGATTATCACGGTTGGAAAATCGAAACTGCTGTTACATTCCACCTCTGAGACCACGTCTGATTATGAGACTAACACTGGCACTGCTACTTGAGCTGCAGCCGATGCTTGAAGAGACTTGTCGTCATCCAAAGAACTGACAGTGTTAGTGTGTAAGAGTTGAGCCATGGAATCTAAGCAACGCCTTTTTGCAGGTTCTCGATCAAAGGCTAAGGATTATTAAAAATCGTAATATCAATAACATTGCAACTTCAATATTATCAAAAATTAACTTGCATCGCAAAATTATTTGTGTCTGAATGACATTTCGCAATTTTGTTGAACAGTTGTGGTTGAAGAGAAATTTCCCTGCTGTCTAATGAATTAGCTCCGAAGTTTCGAGTTGATGCAATATATGTATCAGGGTTCTCGATGATTGATGCTGCTGCGATTGATTGCTGCGTTTTGTCATCTCCAAATATTGTTGGTATGGCACAGCTATCTAATCGGGGATGCTTCAATGAAAGCTCAAGAAAAGAATATATTTATTAATACTGAAAGTGTACAGCACATGAAAATTAGTTCTGATATATGACCGGAGAAATGCATATGAAAATGTAAATGAAAAAACTTACTGGTGCAATGACGTTGTTGTGTTCGTCGTGCTTAACCCACTTGCTTATAACGAATTTGTCCTCGAAATGCCTCTTGCAAATAAAACTCCAAGATGTTAGTTTTACTTCGCCAGGAATAGTGGCTTCCCATCGTTTCAGCATACTGGCGTCATTCGGCACTTTGAAAATCGAGTTATTTTTTACATTTTTATAACTCGACTTGCAACCTGGGATGGCGCACGATCTCCCCATTTTGCTGTATACATATATACACTTTTCCGAGACTGCGTTACTTTCTTCAATTATAATCACTTTCTCTAATCATGAAAACGAAGAAGTCAACGAAACCAGAGAACATAGAAGTTTTCTGACGAACTCGATTTCCAGGTTATGTTGATCAAGCGCATTCGATAGTAGCGACACGTAGGCAAGATACCATACATTACAAAACTGCTTCAATATCTGTGCAGAGATGAGTGGGGAGATGCACAACGCTCCGGTTTTAGGCGATACCAAAAGCATGGCGCTAAGTCGTAGCGGCGAGTCCGGGAGATTTTTTAAACATTTTATCTGTGACAAAATCGACTAATATTTTGAACGCCCGCTCATGCCTCACGACCGGCGACTTGAGCGATTGCGTGTCATGTCCTCTCTCGCTTAGGGGTCTGCTGTTGCTGTTAATGCTGCCGCTGGTTCTTAGAGCAACCCTTCGAACTTAGAACGAAGCCGCTCATCAGATATTGCCTAAATACTTTTTTATTTGCAATCTTCAGTTTCAGCGCCCAGTGTAAACTCGATAAGATTTACTATGAGAAAATAATTACCTCACTTCATTACCTGGAATTAATAATCTTAAGAAGCAAATATGGAAATGAGCATTATCTCTGTCTGTAATTGTTCGTCCACGTGGAGATGTTACGTCCTATGCGTGAGCATCAGGGAGCTAGCATAGCTGTTGAGATCAAAGATCACGTAAAAGTTATTGGGTTCTTGCCACTTTAAGGTGCTAAAGCACGCCTATTTGCGTTTATGTCCCTTGGTCGATAGTTAAGATGAGGATCGCAAACAGGTACTAAATATATTGATTTGGAAAACTCACTCCTTCTACGGGAGTTTGGTTGAAACTACTGGTAAGGGGGGTTTACCTGGATTTAGGAGCTAATAGG